TGGAATTCCTTGCGTTATTCCGTTAAGAATATTCATATTACTGTGTTCTACCTTAAGTAATTTCTGGAAGACACCAGTTTTAGAAGTAACGTTGTAGCTGTTTATGCCATACGGTGGCTTTTTGATGAACAGCGGATCTTTTAAATTATGCTGTGGAGGGGCAAGAAAGGCACTGTATTAATCAGCTTCACCTAAAGAATCAAAAGAAATTATGGCTAGAGGAGACTAAAAAGTAGCAAATATTATTAAATTTCTTCCGTTTTTTCAGTAATTCTGGTGAAGTGCTTACTTAGACATTTAACAGAGCGTATACATTTAAAAGTGGACGAGAGATGAGATTATCAAAAGTCCGGTCGTCGGAAAGTTATTGAAAATTAGGTGGGAGAAGAATATTAAACGATTATTTTATGAAATTTCTTCATATTGGTGAGGTCCTAGAAAAGTTTACGGCGTTTACACTGATGTCAGGAGGAACTTGGGAAATTGAAATTTTAAATCAAAACATAAAGTGCACTGTTTGAGGTCCATCAAGAAGGTAACTACAGTAAAATTATTTGTTGCGAAAGTATTCAGGAATCAGAAAAGTTGGAAGAAATCAATAATGGTACATTTTTCACTCATTTGCTTCGGTTATTTTATCGTAAAATTCACCACAGGATTCTGGAACTTTCAGTGTTAGCACATTTATTCCTTCTTTCATTGAAGAAAGGGTCATAATAGTAAGAACAACATAACTCACTAAAACTTATAAGTTTGTACAGTATTCTGTGCTTCACTTGCATTCCCTCCACTTAGATTCTGTCTGTTTATTGGAGCAGGAATATGAAAGGGTCTCCCTTTCTTTATCCTGTTTTAAAACTTTTGAACTAGAAACCGGTCGCTGGTAGTGACAGTTAATAATTTAAGGTTGTTGTTTTTCTGTAATTACCTATTGCTGTTAACTGTTGTTATTGTTGATCTTGTTCTTGTTGTTCTTGATTTTTGAGGGAGTCACGAAAAAAATCTTTGGAAAAACACTCATAAGTTCGTCGGAAGAATGAAAGTCGAGACGTTTGGGAAGACTATCCCAGCTATGAAAAACGTTCATTTACTATAGGATATCAAAGAAAAAAAATTATTTGTATAGGGAGTCTTAGTAGGGAGTCAAACAACTAAAAATTTTTTGAATTGTTGGTAAAACTAGCGCTACATAGGTGCGTTAACTTTGACGAAGGTTACTCAGTTTCCCTACCTATCGAACTTCTTTTCATTACTGTAGGCTGCAAGCAGCCGGAGTTTTGCTAAACAATGACTGCCACTGATGTACCTGTTTCAGAATCATGTCTGGAACTTTACAAGTTCAGATCAGGAGAAGCGTTATGCTTTTCTTTCTTTCGCATAATTCAACTCATTTATTTCCTGGCTTTCTGCGTTTTAATCTTTCACTGGGAAACTTTTTAGTCTCAGCGTCTCTACGCTAGTTCCGCTGGCGGGTTCGTGCACTTCAGGAAGAGAAGAATTTGCGGGAGTAAGAAACATGAAATTACCGAGATTTCCTCTTCAAAATTGGTTTATTATGTAAAGCTGGTGGTTCGATGATAACATTTTTCAAGTGTTCAGTGCGCTCGGCTAATACTGTTAGAACTAATTTCTGAGCAGTGTTCCCTAACACTCGCCGTTA